TCCCTCTGGTCTCTACAGAAATCAGGTTTGGTCTCGAGCCAGCCCAGGGACGGGGCATCTGCTCCAGTGTAAGAAGAAAAACTAAATTCTCCTTAGCCCCTGTTTTGGACTGCAGAGACAGCCAGAGGACCACAAAGCCAAAACTCCTCTCTGAAAGAAATTAAAGTTCTTCAGACTCCCAGGGACGGGAGCTGGAAAAGCCATAACATCCTACAGTTTAAGGCTTTGTCTTTTTTTTTTTTCTTTTCTTCTTCACACCCCCCCTCTCCCCTCCCCCCCCCCACCCCCTTCTTTTTTTTCACCCACACTGTGATCCCTACCTAGCAAGACAGCATTTCACACAGGCAAGGCTGATGAAAACAATGCAAAAGGCAAACACATCCAACTGCAATAACACACGTGGAAAGTACCATGGGGCCAATTAGCTTTTTGTGATGCCATCTACAAATTCCAGGAGCCACGCTTCTAGTCCTGGCAAAATTGTGAAAAAAAAATGGCTCTTAAATCACGATACAGTTACACAGGGGAATACCATAGTAAGCAATTTCTTTGAGAGATCGTTAAAGTGGCTTTCCTGCGATCTCCCTCTCCTCTACAAGGCTGCAGTGTTAACCTGCAAGGCTGCAGCCTCCCATCGCTCTACTCCGGTGGGCAAACAGAGTGTCCCCCACTGATCCCCCCAAACCTGGGCCATGCGCTGGGCAAGGTCTATGCTGGAGAGCAGCCTGGCCTGGTTTGCTGCTCCACGTGGTGAAGGTGATGGAAGAGCATCCCAGTGGTTTTCCACCCCTGCCCAACCCTCCTCCAGCATCCCCCAGGGACCACATCCCCCATGTTGCACGCCCCATTTTTCTGTTTAAAAAAAAAAAAAAACACAAAAAACCCCCCAAAAAAACAAAAAAAAAAAAAAAAGAAAAGGTACAAGCCCATTTTGCTGCCTCCAAGCAGCAAACGGCCTGAGCACCCATAACATTTGTAACCTAGGGGCACCCTGTGAGACTGCCGGTGTCCCTGGGGAGGGCGGGAGGCGCAGCCCGACGGTGCTGGGAACAGCATCCATCCCTTCCCACCTCCCAAAGTGAATCAGCAGCATTTTACTACCGAGGCCCCGATCCTCATTCAATTAAAAGCCAAGGAAGGTCCTTAATCCTTTCCATTATAAGTAAGTAATAGCTGGTTCTTTGCGGAGGAGCGGGAAAGGGAGGCACCTTACGATCCCGGCCGTTGGGGACACCGTGACAGAGCGCGTCTGCCCGGCATTGCGACCGCTGCTGGGAAGAGCATTCGGATACCGGGGCTGTGGCTCCCCAGGAGACCTGGAGAGTCCCCAGTTTAGCAGCTGCAGTGGTAAACAGGGGATCCCGCAGAGCGGGTCCTGCGGAGCGTGGTTTTCTGCTCTCCCAGCAGTATTCCCCATCTCCCCAGTAAGATCCAGACGGCAGATCAGCAAATCCCAGCCACTGAACGGATCAGCTCCAGCCTTCCCAGCACAGACATCCCAAACAGCAGGACACCAGACTTTCTCAGGAACCAGTGACACAAACCCTTGAGGTCGATCAGACCATAAATTCCCCGTCCACGTTGCACCCTGGCTCCTCGCACACCACAACCGGAGCTCTAGCACGGGGACTGCCGCAGCTGATCGCTGCAGGCACCGAAGGACGGCGAGAAGGGAAGCAGCCCCTGGGTTTTGCAGAAAGCCGGTCATTAATACAAGAAAAAAGGCGCAGGGCAGGTCGCTGGTGCCTGCCGCAGGCAGCGCTGGGCACGCACGGACTGCCGCACGGTGATGTGCGCAGGCAGCAGCTCCCTAGCCACGTTAAAGGCAGGGGAACCATGCGGCCGGGCAGGAAAAATCACCTTTCCCACTATATTCGATTATGCCTGGGCAATAAGCGCTGTAGTTAAGTCTCTAATCCCATTGATACACCAGAAACAGCCAAGAAATGTTCTTTTTTTTCAGTCCCAGGTGGTTCAATCCTGCCTAATTGTCCCACCAAAGCAGCAAGATCCTGACACCGCCATCGCCTTTAGGAAGAGGCTAACCAAGCCCTTGCCGTGAACTCTTTCCTTTCTACCCCAGTCTGGGTTTCGTGGTCAGTTTACCCACAAACATCATCCTGCACCCCCAGAAGGACCCTGGGATGGATGGAGCGGGAGGAGGACCCCAACACTGGCAGCGCAGTGCCTTTCCCCGGGGTTAAAAACCAGCCTTTCTGCTCATGACAAAATAGCTATCGAAGCATGTTTCCCCATCACAAGCCATCTAATTTGCCTCCCACAGAGCAATGCCGCTCTGCAAATCTCCAGGCATTATGGGAACCAGGGTATAAAAACATTCCCGGTGCAATGACGCCGAAATCGATGCTGAAATTAGGCTGGGAACAGAACTGGCATAGTTGCTTCTAGCCCATAAACTAAAATGTACATATACAGCAAATCACCCACAACATCGCACTTTGTGATCGCCTGTAGCTTTTTTTTTTTCCTGCTTCCAGCTTTGCCCCCAAATCGCTCCCTGCATACCCCAAGGGCTCGGGCATCGGCAGCTTCAAGCAGCTGCAAACCACAGGAACCCAGTCCGGCCATTCCCTGCTCCCTCAGCACCAACAGACGTTTGCAGCACAAATACCAAAGATCTCGGCTCCCTGTCGGACACCAAAATGCTTCCCCTGTCCCAGGGAGGGGGTCCGAACCCAGCTCCGGGGCTTCCCAAGGCCACCGCAGGGATGCAGGTGCATCCACCGCCTGGTCCGCAGGGAGAGCAGTTGAGCAGTGCCCAGAAACCACGGCCCCTCTTACGGAGCTGCCCCGGGGAGCGCAGGAGGCAGAGCAGGGAAGGAAGGAAGGATGCTTCCCCAGGGACAGCCCTCGAGCGGGAGGCTTGCTGCAGCCCATGCCCACAAGGTTTTGCTCTCTGGTTGCACAACAAGCCCAGAGATGGGGGCCAAGCTCTTAGAGCCCCCCCTTTGCCCAGAGACGTGGAGCACATGCCTCTATTCCCCGTCTCCCGCCCAAATAGGAAGGACTGATCCCATCCCCATCACAAAGGAAATTCAGCATCTCACAGGCTTCCAGGACACGGAAATACCTTCTCTGGCTCCCCATCCCCATGCTCGGCTCCCCAGAGAGACCCCAAAGCAGCGCTACTCACATTGTACAGGACTGTGGTCCACCCTTCCATGGTGATGCACTGGAAGACGGTCAACACAGCAAAGAGGATGTTGTCGAACTGCGTGATCCCATCGTTGGGACCGATCCACTCCCGGCACTCATAGCCTGAGGGGCAACCCTGCACCCCGCAGGGATGGGGGGGGTCCAGCTCCTCTAGTTCACCTGCGAGCAGAGAGCAGAGGTAAGAGAGAGGCAGGGGACAGGCAAAAGCCTGAATGCAGACGGGCTTGGGACAAAGCAGGGGACCCCACTGAGACTAGCCCTGGCTGCACGCAAACTACGCCCGTAAGAAATCGGGACATCCCGAACACAGCCGGGTGATGCCTGGCGTGCACGAAGTAAAATGCAGGATCTTCCCAGCCCTGGGCTTCCCGCAATAGCAGCGTGCACTTGCCCCAGCTGTTTTCTGCCCGTGGGATACAGCGTGGGTGCAGAGCCCTTCTCCCCACCTGAATTGTTTGTGTAGCAGGCTCGGTGCAGCTTCCCGCTGTAGAACTCCAGGCCGATGATGGCAAACATGAGGATAGCGAAAAAGAGCAGCAAGCCGATCTGGAGGAGAGGCACCATGGCCTTCATGATGGATTTCAGCACAATCTGCAGGCCTGGGAGGGGAAAGAGAGAGCACAGCTCAGCACGGGGATGCAAATCCCCTGCTCCGGGCACATCCATCCCGCCCCTAGCAAGAGCAGGACGGTGAGCAGAGAGGACGGACAGTCACCAGACAGACTCAAGAGGCCAGCACAGCCTGGAGCATCCCTTTAGGCAGGTGAGGACCACGGAGGAAAGCACGGTCCCAGGGGGAGCAGGGAGGGCCAGGCTGCAGAGCAAGGCTCCAGGAGAGCTGATTTCTGGCACTGGTCCCCGCTCTGGTGTCCTGCCTGTCCCTGTCCCACCTGGGCTTGGTGGGACATGGCCCGCGCAGCTCCGTCCCCCAAGGCACGGATCCAGCCCAGCCTGCGCCCAGGGCAGGAGGGACGGGAGGACCAGTGTTGGCACCAGCCTAGTTTCTTTATTTATCCCTGTACCGGCAGATAAATCTTGCAAAAAACCAAAATCTCCCCCAAATAAACCTCAGTCCTGAAAGGATCCACCCACCGCCTTCTGGCCAGGGAAGCGGAGCTGCCGGCAGGTCCTGGCGAGCCAGCGATCCCAGCCTGGTGCTGGCACAGAGCGGGCTGGACGGGGGGAAATGCCACCCGGGGACACCAAACACTGCCATCCTACAGTGCCCTCCCCTGCGGGCTACCCAAGGGGGGGTGGGAAGATGGCATGTACGATCCCCTCTACATAGGGAGGTTCATCCCTCTCTTCCCTGATTGCATCCTACATCTCCGAGGTGGCACGAGGACCTCTCTCACTCTGAAGGACACCAGGGACGGATGCAGACGCCCCAGGAGGAGGACCAGGAGCATTCATCCAACTTACTGGGAATGCCCGAGACGAGCTTCAGAGGTCTGAGCACACGCACGGCCCGCAGCGTCCGCAGGTCCACGTGGGTGTTGAAGTGCGTCCCAGCAGTGGCGAGGATGCTGTGGGCAGACAGGGAGAGAGCAGAGTTACCCCGGGCAGGAGCCACGTTCTCACGCCAGGCCGTGGGGAGCCACGAGGGCAGGTACAGAGATTCCACGCATCCCAAAACTCACGTGCCAGCCAGCCCCGTTTGACGCTGGCATCGAACATCATGGGCCGCTCTGGCCAGCCAAAGCCACCCGGGGGCCACCAAAACCCTAGCAGCCCCCCATCAATGCCCTGCACGCGCCAGGACGGCTAGGGACAGCCTCACACCGCAGTGCTGGTCATCACCCACGCCGTGCAGTCGACGCTGCAGAGGTAGTGCTCGTCACAGCTGCGTGGGTTTAAAGTCCCTCCCAGGCAGGTGGCACGTGGACCAGAGATGGTGCCTCAGAGCTGGGGGTCACTCCCGTGATGGTCACCCAGGCTCCCCTGGCAGCACCTCATGCCATCAGCTGCTCTGGCTTTTTCCATGCGTGAAGCTGCCTTAGAGTCCCACCTCTGGGACCACTGAGAACGAGCCGAGAACCTCACATGCATTCAAAAATCTATAGTAATAAAAGTTTGATGACCTTGGAAGGCAACCAGCAGGCACAGGAAGGACTCCAGAGGTTTTCTTTTAAAACACAAAGATTTTTTTTCAAGCTCATCTCTGGAAAACAAACTGGGGCAGAAGGGAGCTGGTGCACATGGAGTCCAGCAGTAGAAATACTCAGGGCTTCAGAACCCGCCGGGGGGACGGGAACGGTACGGCTCGGGGATGCTGGCAGAGCCGCGGGAGCACGGAGGATGGTGCCGGAGCTGGTGGCCTCCTCTCCCGTCCGGGCTCGGGCCCCAGGTGCCGGGCGAAGAGAAGGAGGGAGGGCTGCAGTAGAGGAGCAGGGGATGGGAGAGGAGGGGACGGGGAGGAGAGTGGGACAGAGGGAGGCAGCAACCTCAGGGCTGTTTGCAGCAATCCAAAAACCGAGGGAAATTGGGTCATTGTTCCACTAATTCATCTAATTACAGGCCAGAGCAGCTCTCTGGCGCGCTGAGCAATTAGCACTCTTTCTCTCCCCCTCTCCCCGAGGTACGCAGGTACCAACCTGCCCCTCCAGAAAGGCGGCTGGGTTTCCTAGGATACCCCGGCAGCAGAAATGCTCTCGCGTCAGCAAACCAGGTTGTTTCGACTCCTTTTCCTAGCCTCCTCTTCCTCCCTGCCTCGGCGCAGGGGGTCAGCTGCAAAGCCTGGCCCCAGCCGCGGTTGGGATGCGTCGCCCCGGCGTCACCCACAACTCCCCGCATATCAGGCCGCTTATCCCCGATATATACGGGTGTCTTTTACCCGCGATGGCACTTTCCCTTTCTCCCATCCCCCTTGGGCACAGTGCCCATGCCCCAGCCCTTGACCAGCCCCTGCTACCCACGGGGCTGACGGGAGAGCAGAAAAGGGACTTAATTAAGTCAGGAGCACCCAGAGCTGCGTTGTTAAATTGGTTGTAAGATCAAAATCAATAAGTGTGATAAAGCACAGCCGCTCGGCAGCACGTGGGAGAGAGAAGGGCACGGGCGCTTTCATCTCTTTCACGCAACCTGCCAGCGAGAGCAGGGTAACCCAGCGCTCCCCAAAACGCTGGCGTAGAGGACACACTGTGCTCAACGTCGCGCTGGAGATCCCGAGACCCTCCTTCAGCTTTTGCTCCTCACATCCCAATGCCTGGTGTCCAACCAGCCTCCCAAAGACAACAGGGGAAAGGCATTTATTTGCAGTCCCTGTGCTGACTCCAGCTGGGGTCGAGCATCTCCAGGAGACCAGGGATGCTCCCGGGCTGGATGCAAGCTCCAGCCCTTCTCCTGAGGACTCGCCGACACACGTCCCGTGCTGTGAAAAGCCCAACTTGGCAGAGTCCTGGCAGCAGAGTGGCATCGACAGCTCTCTCCTACCACCACGGAGCAGCATGAGCCATGGTCCTAGGGAGCCAGGCAGAGCGATGGAGGTGGAGCCGTCGTTGCTCCCAGCCCCACCGCACATCTCCTCCCCGGGGCAGGACCGTCGCCGGCTGCCCGTCGCAGCGGAGAGGAGCAGAGCTCCCCGGCTGCAAAATTCTCCGCTAACCCAGATTTGTTTGAAGGGCTCAGGAGCCGTCGCGCCGAGCCTTCAGGCAAGGTTTGGGCGATTTCAGGGCACTACTTCCCAGCGCTCTAAATTAGCTGCTAAGAATGGGACTCCTCTGTGGCAAGGTGACATGCTCCTTGTCCTCGCTGGGGGACGAGGGACATCACAAGCTCTTTTGGAAGGAGGTTTGGACAGATCACCGGAGCGAGGTGGTTGCGCTGCCGAGGTGTCTCCCGACCCGTGATAGAATGATGACCCACCGCTACGAAACAGGCGCCTGCGCATCCTTCTGCGGGCACAGCCGTGGCCCCCAGCGAGGGCGGACGCACCGGGAGCACACGCTGCTGGAGCTGCTCCTGGCAAACCCATCCAGCCCAGAGCCCCTGAGCAGGGTCTGAGCAGCCTCGGACCACCCTTAGGATCAATCGAGGTGGCTGGAAAAAGCCAAGCAAGCTTCCAGGCGTGCAAGGATGGCTTCTGTCTGCCTTTCCCAAGCCCTTCAGTGGCTCTAAATTAAGAGACATCACCTCTCCCCAAGAGCCGGGCTTCGCTGGTACGCACAGACACCACCACCACTTCACTGCTAATAATAAATACAACACTCAAAACACACCCTCCTGCTTTGGACTTCAGCATCTCACCTGTTAATTGCTTATTAACCTTCTACGCGTGCCATTTTATTATTTTTTTTTCTGAGAGCCACCCACATCACCCATCACGACCAATTTCTGATTTATTTATCGACACACGTTAAGGTTTCTTACAGCTCCTCGGGATGAACGGCGCAGAGATGGGACTCAGGCTGTGACAGACCTTTGTGCTAACATGGGGCGGCAGCTCCGGTATCTGTAGAACAATTTAAACCCTTTTCGAACCCTTACAATATCCACGTCTGATGTGCTAATAATTATTCTTTATTTTTAGGCAAGGACCCAAACTAAAATTACATCTCACCATCCAAGTTATTTGAAAAAGCTGCCAGATTGGGCTATAAAAATCCCAATGATCTCATGCTTTTCATCATATGTACTGGAGAAAAAAAAAAGAAGGGGAAAAAAAAAAGTGAAGGCGTTTTTATAGGTCACCCAGGCAAAGGGGTTAGTTTTACTTCTTCAGAGGAAAGGGGGAAGAGACTTCAGGTGAAGAAAAGAGCAGAGAGGAGCTATTGGAAGAATGCAAATGAGAGAGGAGGCAGGATGGGAAATATATGCTAATCCCCAAAGTATAATTGAATAGTGAGCAATCACCGGCAGACAAAAACATGCTTTCGGGGGGGGGAAAAAAAAAAATCCAGTGCTTTGTGTTTGCAACCAGGATGATTATTTTATTTTATTTATTTACAGGCT